TGAAATCCAGCTTTACTGAAAAATACTGTAATCCTTTTCGAATATATATAGTTGGTAATTTCATGATTTAGAACTTAAAAACTATCTCCAGACAATAGACACCTTGTTTCTAGAGGTGCGCTCCAATGATAAAGGGATTGGCAGCTTTTTCCAGCTAAAAAAAAGCATGTAGCTGCAGTGAACATGACTTAAAAACAGCCTAGGGACTTTTACCTATGATGCCACAGAACTGGGAAATTCAAAATGGTGTGTTTTTATGAAGCTTAAAAGGCACAGACTTACTAAACAAGGGTGAATGAAACAAAATACAACTCCAGGAATATTTTTGACAAGGGAACAATGTTATAACATGGTCCAAAAAGCCTAATTTGCAGAATATGTGTCTCTTAAAAAATCTGTCTACACTGGATTAACAACTGAGCAAAGTAATATAACAATGTCATGTATTTCACAACATGTCTGTGGAGGTCTAAACTCCAGGGTTACAACCCCATAGAGACACAAGGACATCAGGTTCACTGCAGAGTACACCTCATTACCTATAATAACTGCATCCTTTGTGATTTGATAATTATCCACTCATCCCTGGAAGCAAATGTACTCTCTCGTCATGACATAAGAGAAGTCCAACCTTGTAAAAAGTAGGTCTGCTTCATATTGTAAGAAGTAGTAGATATCGTTGAAATTATCTGCAGTAGACACGTCCTCTCCATCGCTGTTGGGAGACAAGCAGCAGAAAAGTTAGTGGTGAATATAAAAAATAATACCATATTTTTTGGACTATAAGTCTTTTTTCATGGTTTGAGTGTTTCCTTATACTCTGGCGCACATTATATATTAAAATGTTCACACTCAAGCGGCGAGAGGCTCTAGTTTTGTGTGTGAGTATCTGCTGCTCCTGTTCACACTTCACTCTACTGCACAGAAAGAGCCTCTGTCCTGTCTGTATTATGTCTGTACCACTGAAAATGTAACATTTAAACAAACTTATAAAGACGACTGAGAAGACTGAACACAAATGCCCCAGAAAGAAAATTTATTTTATTTACAAGCTGCAAGTCGTGAAATGTGCAGCTGAAAATGATAATGGAGCAGCTGAAAGGAAGTTTGGAGTGAAAGAGAAACTTGTGACATCAGGAGGATGCACCATGAAACTTTCCTGAAGTCACTGGATGGATGGACAAAGTCTGGACTTCAGTGACACTGTAACCATCCTGTCGGGATTCAGAAAGACACGAATAATTCTAACTGGAACTGATGCTGAGTCTGACTAGCCTGATTCATCAGCTGGTTTCACTTTGTTTCACTTCGTAGAAACCGTCTGACCTCAGAATCCGTTTGCTCGACAGTAAACTGGTACTTTTTATCATTTAACCAATTGCTGTTATTTGGTCGTGACGTATGTAATGCGTCACTAACAGGGCTAACTGGTATATTAAACTTTTCCCAAATCCTGTAGGAAGAAGGACAATAACATCTTTCCCCTTGATAGAATTCACCAAACATTCTCTTTATTCCGGCTTTAAATCCTCGATCTCGAGAATCGTTGACAGCACTGGATATATGGCTCTTTGCTTATTGGCTACTGCCTTCTAGGGTTTTTGCAAACCGTCTATTGTATTTGGATTCCTGACATATTTGCTGGAGAGAAATGAAATTGAGCAGAGGCACTAGGCTAGAATCTGACGACAGCGACGCAGAAGAGGAAGCGACGCTCTGATTACCTCCGGAGGTCGAGTCCGAGTTGTTCAGAAGTGACACCGAGGATGAAGAATTGAATGGATTTAGTGATTTGGAGTGAGATGGAGAGTTTGGTAAACTTGTTCTGTTCTGTTGTTTATGTTATAGTTTATCTGAAGAACTGTTCATATGTGACGTTAACAGTCTGTTGTTCTCTTCTATTGTTTTTACTACAACTTGACTTTCAACAGGAATTGTCGCTTCAGGGTCTCTGATTTTATAAAAAATAAATTTTCCCCAAAAAGTGTAACTTTTGTGACTATGTTTTGTTCTTCATTATGCATTTTTGGTTGGTGTGACTTATACTCCGGAGTGACTATAGCCCGAAAAATACTTGGTTTGTGAAAATGAAAAATGTGTCTGTTTGCTGCAGGTGTTCCAATCATTGAGAACTGGGGGCTCTTGGAAAAAGGATAAAATCTTTAGACACAACAAAATCCAGGCACTCCAAAGAAGTAAAATTCACACGAGGAAAAGTAGAGTTAAAAGGCTTTTATTTAAAAGGCCAAAGCCAACATGAAAGTCCTGATGAAAACCAGTCACAGTCGAAACATGTTGGCTTTGGCCTTTTAAATAAAAGCCTTTTAACTCTACTTTTCCTCCTGCGACGTTTACTTCTTTGGATGCCTGGATTTCGTTGTGTCTAAAATAATACTGGGTTTATTGGGAAAATCAAGTCAGACCTGCTGGCCTCCAGGAAGATCCGGAGATGATCCAGGACAACAGAGCGGCTGAACTCAAACTCCAAACGGAAATAAACCTGCAAGAAAAAGAGTCCACAAAAATAAATTAAACACATAAATAATACAGTTTATTTTTAAAGAGGGGGTGTGTCTCTGGGGTATTAACTCATGACAGATAACATATTTTGATCTCAGTGCTACCTGTTATTGATTTGAAAATGTTTTATTTGCAGAAACAAAGTATTGACAAATTCATTTCAGTTTACTTTTGTTTTTGACACCTTCTCTTTGCTCTACGCATCACTCCCCCCTCAGAGCACGATCATAACATAATCAGCATGCATCCAACTAATAAAACTATTTGCATTTGTGTATTTATTGAGAATTGTTGTGTGGGAGAGTGGGTGACGTAGGCTTGTGGGCGGAGCTTCGTGAAAGGACAATACTGACACTGTGAGAGGGGTTCAAATGTGGCCCAGGATCATGGATGACATCTAAAACCTCTTCAGGAGTGTTTCTGATGAGCGAACATGGTAGACAACTCCAAAAAATAGATTGTGCAAAATACTCTCTCTTTAAAGACACTTTCAAACATCAAGCGAGAAAAGTGTCTTGCCCAAGGAAACAAGCAACAGCATACAGACGTGCTGAACCTCCAACCCTTGGGTTAGAGGGAAACACTAATTGAACTACTTGTACAAAAGAGTCAGGTCTATTCACAGATGTTCATGGAGTATGTAGTGACACGTGCTCCATCGGTGTATGTACACACACACACACACACACACACACACACACACACACACACACACGGGGTCTCTGCTCACACACATGGAACGTTTGGGGCATTTTAGGACTTTCCAGTTTCACATCAAACAGTTCCAGTGTGTCCTGCTGTCTCACAGTGGAGAAGACGTTAACCTGAGAGCAGGTCTGGACTGTGGAGGTGATTGACAGCTCACACATGTGCTCTGGCCTGTGTTTACAGTGGTACAGGGTCCAGTGTAGTGAAGCCTTGATCAGAGCTCACAGGAATGTACCGTGAAGCTGCAGCTACATGAAGATACAACAGCACACACACACAACACATACACACATGCTGAAGTTTAAACAGGAAGAGACAGAGTCCTTTTAGGTTTAAACAAGTGGATTTGTGCATTGAAACTGGCAACACAAATGAGAGCCTCATGTGAGGCTCATTCAGTTTTCTGATTGGATAATTGTCTTGAGAACCAAAACACCAAATTATAACATAAATACAAATGGGCCATTGTGTGCAATGTTTTCTGTAATTGAAATGAATCTGTATTCCAATTGTTTTTGCTGTATTTAAAGTGAACACAGTGTGTCACTTCCACAAACCTCTGACACTGGGAAGTAAAAGTGTACTGTACTAACCCCAAAGAGTTCTCAGTGATGTGCTGTGTCCTGACATGGTTCAGTCGAGTGATGATGATGATGATGATGATGATGATGATGATGATGATGATGTTGTTTTTAACTACAGACATTAGATAACACTCTCCAGTGTTCATGTCTATAATGAACCACGTCCCTTTTTACAGCGTTTGTTCTTTCTCTCATGTAACTCCTGCCTGCTCCTTCTCTGCTGCACACATCACATAAACAAGTGTAATCCTTGTGCTTTTCTGTCGAGTCTCTGTCCTCCCTCTGCCTCGCTCCTCAAAAATCACCCTTTTAAAAACTAAAGTGGAGCTCGTAAAGAGCACTAATGCTAAGAGCTATGGGCTAAACCAGGACAGAGACAGAGAGAGAGACACAGAGACAGAGAGAGAGAGAGAGAGAGAGAGAGACAGAGAGACAGAGAGAGAGAGAGAGACAGAGAGAGACAGAGAGACACAGAGAGACAGAGAGAGAGAGAGAGACAGAGAGAGAGACAGAGACAGAGACAGAGACAGAGAGAGAGAGAGAGACAGAGAGAGACAGAGAGACACAGAGAGACAGAGAGATAGAGAGACAGAGAGAGAGACAGAGACAGAGACAGATAGAGAGACAGAGAGAGAGAGAGAGAGAGAGACAGAGAGAGACAGAGAGACACAGAGAGCCAGAGAGATAGAGAGATAGAGAGAGACAGAGAGACAGAGACACAGAGAGACAGAGAGAGAGAGAGAGAGACAGAGAGAGAGAGACAGAGAGAGAGAGAGAGAGAGAGAGAGAGAGAGAGAGAGAGAGAGAGAGAGAGAGAGAGAGAGAGAGACAGAGAGAGAGAGAGAGAGAGACAGAGAGAGAGAGAGACACAGAGAGACAGAGACACAGAGAGACAGAGAGACAGAGAGAGAGAGACAGAGAGAGAGAGAGAGAGAGACAGAGAGAGAGAGAGAGAGACAGAGAGAGAGAGAGAGAGAGACAGAGAGAGAGAGAGACAGAGAGAGACAGAGAGACACAGAGAGACAGAGAGATAGAGAGAGACAGAGAGAGACAGAGAGAGAGAGAGAGAGAGAGAGACAGAGAGAGACAGAGAGAGACAGAGAGAGAGAGAGAGAGAGAGAGAGACAGAGAGAGAGACAGAGAGCGAGAGAAGAGACAGAGAGAGACAGAGAGTCAGAGAGAGAGACAGAGAGAGAGAGAGAGAGACAGAGAGAGAGAGAGAGAGAGAGAGAGAGAGACAGAGAGAGAGACAGAGAGAGAGAGAGAGAGACAGAGAGAGAGACAGAGAGAGAGAGAGAGAGAGAGAGAGAGACAGAGAGAGAGAGAAGAGACAGAGACAGAGAGAGAGAGAGACAGAGAGAGAGAGAGACAGAGAGACAGAGAGACAGAGAGAGAGAGAGAGAGAGACAGAGAGAGAGAGAGAGAGAGAGACAGAGACAGAGAGAGAAGAGACAGAGAGAAAGAGAAGAGACAGAGACACACAATCAGGAACAGATGAGGAGACGCTGCCTCACCTGGAGCTCAGGGGCCCAGTGGAGGGAATGGTCATACTGTAGCTCTCTGGGAGTTAATGGAGGATAGAAGGATAGAGGAGTATTCTTCACACCAAACATTATAAACACGTTTTTACAGCAGGAAACAGGAGTCTGTATAATGAACAGGTCAAAGGAGGATAAGAAGTGATCTAAACATGACAACACTGCGTCTAAACCTGCATTAAAGAAGACACAGTGTGCTGGTGCCTGACATCAAGAAGTATAACTAAACCAGGACAAAACTACAGATGTCAACACAACAAAGTCTCAGCCAGGACTAAACCAATTACAAACCAGGACTAATCCAGACCATTCTAAACCAAGGCAGATTTAATGAAGGCAAAAGTTAAAACAGGACAACATAACAGGTCTCAACTTGGACCAAACCAGGGTTTAATTTGGATGAAACCAGATCAAATGCCGATCAAAAACAGAACTAAACCAGGACTAAATAAGGTTGTGTTCATACCTGTCACACGCCACACACATAATCCAAAACTAAACTTGGACTAAACCAGGACTAGACCAGGAACAGAATAGACCCAAACCAAGTCTACGCCAGGAGAAAAATGAGCTCAAACCAGGACCAAACCAGGCCAAGTGAGACTTAAACTAGAGACAAGGCATCAGGGTCTAAACCAGATAAAACCAGGACTAAACCACAAACAAACAAGATCAAAAACATAACTACCTAACAGGTCTAAAGCTGAACTTCTAGACTAAACAAAGAACCCTGAGGAGCACTTTTGGTACCTGGACCAGAGTTTGGAACGCACAGATTTACCAAAGCCTTTAAAACACCAGTGGATTTGAAGAAGTGTGAATTCTTGTGGCTTGACTCCCGTGGTGTTTGAAAAGAACATATGTAGTGTGTGATCACAGAGAGAGGAGACATACACTGACACGTTTCCACACACTGCTCCATGCTGCTGTGTGAGCTCCAACAATGGCACATGTTATATTGTAGAGGGACACAACGCTGACCACATCTGCTGCCGGTCTCATGGAGGAGGATCATAAAACATAAAACATCGTTAAACTTCAGAGGAGCTGTTAAAATTCAAAGACTTCCCATATTAAACATATTCAACTGATCAAAATGATTAGAAGCATAATCACTAACCATGTCCATGGACACAAGCAGTCGAGTTACGGGTGAGATTTGCACAAAGGCAACCAATAAAAATGTGTTTTTAGACTGATTTTTGCAACTATACTCTGAATCATCCCAGGAAAAGCAATATCAACATCAGAAAAGTTTGAATTGTGTGTATCATTTGTTCATTCGTTTTTCAATATAAAACCAAATAATAAGAAAACGAAAAAAACATTCATTTTTTTCAGTTTTCAATTTTGTGTTTAAATGAAAAATGGAAAAAAACGGATAATGGCTGTGATGCTGGACTAAAACAGAACTGAACCAGGACTGAACCAGGCCCGACCAGATCGGAACCAGACCGGGACTGAAACCAGGACTTAGACCGGGCCCAGAGCAGGACTGAGTCTGGGACCAGGACCAGAACCGAGACCAGGACTGAGACCGGGAACAGGACCAGGACTGCAACTGGGACCAGATGGGGACTGAGACCAGGACTGAGGCTGGGTTCAGACTAGGACCAGGCAGTGATTGACACCAGGACTGAGACCGGGACCAGACCGGGACTGAGACCGGGGCCAGACCGGGACTGAGACCGGGGCCAGACTGGGACCAGACCAGGACTGAGACCAGGACCAGGCCAGGACTGAGACCGGGGCCAGACTGGGACTGAGACCGGGGCCAGACCAGGACTGAGACCGGGGCCAGACTGGGACCAGACCAGGACTGAGACCAGGACCAGGCCAGGACTGAGACCGGGGCCAGACTGGGACTGAGACCGGGGCCAGACCAGGACTGAGACCGGGGCCAGACTGGGACCAGACCAGGACTGAGACCAGGACCAGGCCAGGACTGAGACCGGGGCCAGACTGGGACCAGACCAGGATTGAAAACAGTTTAGTCCTGGTTTAGTCCTGGTTCAGTCCTGGTTCAGTCCTGGTTCAGTCCGTATGCTGCGCAAAAGTTCGACATCACAGTTTAAGTTTTGGAAAAGGGAAACGGCCATTATCCGTTTTTTTCCTTTATTCATTTAAACACAAAATTGAAAACTGAAAAA